GCCACATCCCAGGCCGCCGCCAAATTTTCAGCCGAGTCGTGAACTAGATCCTCAGGATATGGCCCAAGCTCCGTCAGGAACCTCTCTGGGTCCATCAGGCGCCTGGGGCGGAACCATCTATGCGGTTCCGACTCCCTGCGGCGGGGGGGAGCGGTCCGGAAGTCCATCCTACTTTGCTGCTTTGCCTTTTGGCATTGCATAGAATGCCTAGAAAATATGTAAAATATTAAGTGTTTCATATTTTGATGTCCCATTTTTGTCGTTCTATAGATTTCCTAGGCATTCCATAAAATGCTTAATTTCACACATTGGTGATAACATATATATTCTACCAGACAATCTGTGACCTATTGGGTCATTGTTTCAGAGACATTTCCTTATCTAGAAAAACTCTGGGCAAAAACTCAGTGGGAGCGGGTACAACTTCTCTCTTCCTTTTAGCTTCCTCATTGAGTTTCCTTGTGGGAAGCCAGAAGTGAACATTGGAAACCTTCCTCCCTCCCTCCCTCCCTCCCTCCCTCCTGTCTTCCCCTTTTCCTTCCTTTCTCCCTTCCTGATAAGGCTAACAAATCACTACTGTTGAGTGGAGAAGGGATTGAGAGAGTGGCCAGAAGCTTTCAAGAAATGTTGAAAGTGATGATCAAATCGTCTCAACAGCATGGTGGCAGCAGCACTGAAGCAGCTACAACTTTCCCAAATTTCATTCCCTCAGGGTAAGGAGTCACCCGCATTTTGTAACTTTACCCATTTGAGGTACCTTGATTGAAAAGGTTTTGCCTTACGTTGCATCACTTCGCTCAACTAAAGGTTACAGACATGAGAGTTTTGGTAGTATTTCGATATAGCGAATGACGTTTTCCCTGGGAAGTGATCAAATGTCAGCTAAGTTATTTTTTCCCCCATCAAACCAATGTCTCCTGTGATTTGCAATAGCAGTACAGTTTCAGACAGAGACCTACACTACATGTCTCTTGAGCCTGTCCTCTGAAGATGCCAAACTGACAGGCAAATGAAGGTACACAGCAAAGCACTATTACAGACAACTCATGCAAGCTACAGAATTGCTGTTCACAGAGAAAAGGAGGAAAATCCTCTGGCCTGAGGATTAATTTAGTGGCAACCTTTTTCATCTCCCACACATGCACAAACAAATCTACAGTCCCCATGGCGCGCAAACAGATATGCATATATGATTCTATGTCTACTGTAGGATGGGCAAAGTTTATAGAAGGCTGCATGACATGAAATGGAGAGGACTAGCTTGCCCAGCAGTATCTCCATGTCCATTCAGATCCGTGTTTCCTTTAAAAAAAAAAAAGTTATTACCAAGAGATCTTTCACAAATCCAGGGCTGATTCCCATCCTCTTCTGCATCTACCCTTAATACCTTAATCTTACCATTAAAATTCTTCAATGTTTTTACCGTAATCTTTTGGGTTTTATTTCCTTTTATACACTAATACTCCTTTATTTCCTTCATACACTAATACTCCTTTATTTCCTTCATACACTAATTTGATTATGAATTTGATCACAAAACCAATCTGATCACTTCCCAGGGAAATTATCATCCATTATATCTACTGTCCCAAACAAATTTACATGCTCTTTTCTATTAAGCCAGCTCATTTACTTTTTTTTCTCTTTATCCCGTAACTCATTATGTAATATAATAGTGCCTTCAAATTATATACTAACACACTTCAAGTAAAATCAAAGCATATTCATACACTCTTACATCTCTTATTAGTTATCCATTTTTCATTTTTTTTCTAATGAAGTTTAAGTACTGGATTACTCAGGCCAATGTGCTTTCCTTTTTATTATGATATTAAAATTAACATGTGCTACATGCAAGAAACAAAGAGTCACTTGAAAATAAAATGCTTCCATGAAAAAGAATTACTTGTTTAAGACTTAGTAAAATACTTCTTTTCATGATAAATACATTAAGTTAACTATTCTCATATAAAACTATAGGGTGACTTTAAGAATATTAGATACCTCAGACATTTTCTGTAATACTTGTGGTAAAGTCATATCCTCAGTCACAGGACTAGGAACTATATCATGGGAAAAAGCAACAATGTGGGAATCTTTTTCAGTGCGTGCCACAACCTGGTAAAAACCAAATGACCAAAGGTAAAGAGAGAATGTTATTTTCCTGTTTGTTAAACTAAAAAGCATTTCTGCACTCAAGCTTTCTGTGTCTAGTCTAGCTGCCTCTTGAAAAAGCACCGTTAGGACAAGCTTTCTCTGGTTTTCAAATGTGAAATAGCTGTTTTTCTATTCTAATTCATCCCTCTTTTAATGCTCCACAATATGTTAGTCCTTTCTCCCAGACTTTCTTAAGTTGTTATTTTCTTTGGATACAAGTGCTGAAAATCTGATTACCAAATCTTACATAATGGTTCCTTCTTGACCTGTAGAACAGGCACTGAAGGGATGCATCATCTTAGCCAAACATTTGCTTTAGTACAGGAGGCATTAATCACCGGAAAAAATGATTTGTTGCCTGCTCTAACTTGAGCAACAGGAAAATTATGTATTGTAGACAAATGGCATGACAAGACTGGCTAGTAAGGCATGGAATGAAGGAAAGGTATCAACATGGGGCCAAATACTGTCCAGCAATTAAGTTACTCAAATTATAAACACACATAGACATTTGGGAGTCATTAAAGGAAATACGTCCTTATATACTTTCAGAAAATGTTGACCATATTATCTGAAAATAAACAGGATAAATAAAACAAAAGTTTAATTTATATCTGAAGAAATAAGCGGAATTAATACCTATGTTGATTTTGCATGGATAAGTTTGTTAGTTTTGTTTTAAAACCATATCTATCAAATCATGAGGCAGATATCCTTGGCTTTACCAAATTACAATCTATTTAGTCTTGGAAAATCAGAACAACGCCATCGCAACCCAAAGTTTAGGACCAAAAAATATCATAAAACTGAGACGTTTCTTACCATGCACATTGTTGCAGCAATGGTACTAGCATTCAGCACGCTACCAAAAACCTTTTGTAACATAGAATCACTAACATCAACAGCAACTAAGATACGCTTTCCCATTGGTTCTAATGCCTAAGAAAGAGGCAATGAGTGGAAAGAAGTCAGAATATATAATTTTTTTTAACATTGTTTTAATTATATGACTTTTCACAGCTGTGAGTGCTTTCAGAAGCAACGGTATTAATCAAAGAAATGCTAGTTGATTACAAAAATAATACAAATATATGAGAAGAGGGTACTAATTCACCACCCCGCCACCACCAATATCATCTTTCCCCAAATGTACATTATAGCTGAGCAACCAAGTGCACAGCATAATTTGCAGACTAAATCTCCATGAGTCTTAAGAGGAAGGGGGGAAGGAAGACTACAGCCTAAACTGTTATGGATTGCTCATAAAAAATACCGAAAAACAAACATCCTAGGAACATTTACCATCCTTCTTTTAGTCTTTATTGCCAAAATTGGAACTTTCCTAAAGAGATTTTGCTTAAATGCTTCAGACTTATACTGAAAGTACTTAAATTAATATTCATTAACCATTACCTTGAAGGACTTGTAAAATGAAGTATTTAGAGCTTCCAAGATGTCCTTCTCTGGTTGCCAGCGCAGTTTTCCCCGATAACCACGCTCTCCTTTATAGTTTTCTAATGCAACCAAAATATGGAATGGGTGTATCTGAGCCTAAAGAATTTTAGAAAACAGACTCAAAATGTTAATTTCGCCTTCCAGTGATAATTTCTTCTAATTAAGTAAGCTATAAGATCAATGATTCTGGAATAGAAAATTATATTTATTTAAGTATTGTGAGTATAGAGTGCAAAGCAACTTTTTAACATGTTTTCAAAGTATTATTGCTAGAAATAACTGCTACAATATCCCTTAGATTTTTTCCCTTTATCTAAATGAGATTTTTTCCAGTTATTAATTCAATGGTTTATTTGGTTGATTTAGAGAGATTCAAATTTATATGGTGACCTCACAAATTTGGTCTGGTAATCAGAACAATGCTTTTTTATTATCTTTGCCTTCTGTAAAACTATTACACAAGAAGAGAAATGCTTTCATATGATGTTCACAGCCAATGTTCCCCACAAAAGGATATTTTTGTACAGGTTTTTTTTTTTGTAATTTACACTTTTTCAGCAAAACAATGATTCCCCCATTTTAGCAGTAGAGAAAGCATTGAAAAGGTTACTGACTTTAAAGGCTACCTTCATAAAAAGATGAACAGAAGGAAAGATCACAAGTATATTTAAAAATCTTGTACAGGACTTACAACCATTCATTTAATGACCATTTGAAGTTACAACAGCACTGAAAAAAGTGACTTATGACCACTTTTCACTCTCATGACCATTGCAGCACCCCTGTGATCACGTGATCAAAATTTGGATGCTTGGCAACTGGCGTGTATTTATGACAGTTGCAGCGTCCCAAGATCATGTGATCACCTTTTGTGCCTTTTTTGACAAGCAAAGTCAATTGGGAAGCCAGATTCACTTAACAATCATCTTATTAACTTAACAACTGCAGTGACACGCTTAGCAACTGTGGCAAGAAAGGTTGTAAAATGGGAGTAAAACTCACTTAACAACCATCATGCTTAGCAATGGAGGTTTTGGGCTCAATTGTGATAATTTTCCCTCATCAACTAGAGTTGCCAATTTCCCCTGAAACCAACCCCAAAGATTCTACACTCTGAATTAACCAATGTAGGACAGGTAATTTTTAATAAATAAGAGAGTCAAGATCAAAACTATTGATTAATAAGTACTGATTACTTAATCCACTTAGTTTGGTGGAGCGGTTTAAGGCGCCAGGAAACTGCAAGTTCTAGTCCTGCCTTATGAAGAAAGCCAGCGGACTCATTTTGGGCCAGTCGCTCTCAGCCCAAGGAAGGCAAACCACTCCCGAAAATCTTGACAAGAAAACTGCAGGGATATGTCTAGGCATCAGCACAGGTCAGGAATGATTTGGAGGCACACATACATAGATACCGAACCCCCCCTTTAATTGCCTGTAAAATAATTCACCCCATCTGTAAAACAGTAATAGCTGTATTTGTTAGGCACATAAAACTAGGCAAAAATAGACACTGAATAAAATGCAAATTGATAAAATATTATACTATAATTCAATTAAACTGAAAAGTCCATGACATACTGTATAACATTATCCTCTATCATTTAAAATTGGAAAGTCAATAATAGTTATGTATTTTAAAGTAACTTTATAAAATCCGGTGAAAAAGATGTTAGTGGTTTTTTTTAAGTGACTAGAATCTAAGTAGCAGTCCATTCCACCCCCAAAAAAAGAAAGAAAGAAAGAAAGAAAGATAGATAGAAAGATAGAAAGATAGAAAGAAAGATAGATAGATAGATAGATAGATAGATAGATAATAGATAGATAGATAGATAGATAGATAGATAGATAGATAGATAGATAGATAGATAGATAGATAGATAGATAAAAAGCTCCCAACACAGACCTGACAATCTTAAACAGGATGTGGCTATTCCAGTTTGTGGTAGAAACAAGTAACTCTAACCCAATAAATTTGGTCAAGAGCACAGAATCATCAGCAGATCTTTCTAATAACTAGATGTACAGGTAGTCCTCGACTTGGAAAAATTAAATCCTATTTTGTCTCTTTGTCAGTTATTCAAAAATGTGTTTGTCTTGTAAGTTTTTAAAATTTATGAAAGGGGGGAAAAGATTAATTTCAATAAAAAGTAAGTTAAGCATAACCAGATTTTCTTCCAAGGAGGGCTAAAAAGTCATTTTTAGTTTCAAATAGGGAAAAAACTACTCTTGCACATACCATTCATCATTAGCATCTTGTGCACTAGAAATTTGGATAAAATTATAAAATGTAGAATATTTAAAAGGAAAAACTGAAGTTTCATCTACCCACATTACTGACTTGCATTAGAGTTAGTACCTTTGTGGTAGAGGGGAAGCCAACAAAAATAATGCACTAATGAATTGGCAAAATAGATCCACAGAAAACTAAAATACAATACGCACAAGAACAATGCGTTAAAAAATCCTTACCTTTTTAAGAAGTTTTTCATTTTTTAATTTTTCACAAACCATTGCTACCTCTGAGCTTCCCGGTTCAAGAACAGAATTTGCTGTCATTTTTCCCAGGTTCTTCAATATTGCTGTTACGGGCATGTTCTGTAGCAGTGCTTTCCATACCTTGTACAAAATGAAGTTCAACGGTAAGAAAAAGCCATGTGTTTAAAGAAAAAGACATAGTATAAATACGCATAACTGTACTGGAATCATGTAAATGTATTTATTCATTCATTCGTCACATTTCTACAATATCCACTTCAACTACTGTATGTAATTCTGGGCAGCTCACAATAAAAACATGTCATAAAGTATAAAAGCATAAATAAGAACAAAGTTAAAAACAGGGATGACTCTCTTCTCATAAGGCAAAATTCTTTAACCAACAGGATCCACGATATGCCCTCCCCACCTGACCACATCGAATGGGATGATATAATTTGGACAAGCAAGATAGTTCCTCAGATAACCTGGTCCCATGCCATGAAGAACACATGTAAAACTAAGAATACATGTAAAAATTGTTAAAAGTACTATAAAAACAGAGGAGTGATAAAGTGCAGAAAACAACATTATATAGTGTGATTCAAAGTATTAATGTTTCTCTAATTTCCTTACCTCTTTAGATTTCAAGTGACTTGTCAGGAGGTGTTCTCTAACTAAACTATGCTCTTCTATCAAATGAATCACTTCCAGTTCATCCGTTGTATGCTTTACCCTTTCCACTGCTTCCAAATACGTCAACACTTTTTCAGCCTCAGCAGAAAGCCTGCTCTCTTTATATGTCTCTTGGACTTCCTTCCATCCCTTCATTACATACTTAGTGACAATGGCCAGGCCTGTTGAAATACAGTAAGTTTTATTTCTAATTTAGAACATATTTTGAAAAGAAATATGAACTTCAAAATAATGTGAAGTTATCAAATATTAGGCTGGAAAGTGTATTTATTTTGTATTTGGTATTTTCTGGCATCCTAGCAAAACTAGCAATTTATTTATGATACCTTGATGAATAGTGGAAGATAATATAAAAGCAAAAGAATAAGTAGTGTTACTATTTAATTAAATACATACGGACACATACAAAGCCTTTTTCACAATTTATTCATCTGACCCTCAGTCTTTAGGACTGATTGTGGGCATGCTTTCTGCTATAATTCTTCTATTGCTTTTGCTATTTCTAGAAGTAACAAAAATTACTTCTAGAAAAATCTCAAGCTTTTGATTTTAAAAAAATTAAAAACTATTAAAGATTCTCCCCTATTATAAAACAAAGCAATACAGGTTGTTTGTGACCACAACTGAGGCCCAAATTTCTGGTGCTAAGCAAGAAAGTGGTTTTGCTCCATTTTACGACCTTTCTTGCTACAGTTGTTACACAAATCACTGCATTTGTTAACAACACAGTTATTAAATGAATCTGGCTTCCCCCTTGACTCTGCTTGTCAGAAGGTCGTAAAAGCTGATTACATGACCCCGAAACACTGCAACTGTCATAAATATGAGTCAGTTACCAAGCATCTGAATTTTGATCACGTGACCATGAAGACACTGCAACGGTCATTAATTGTGAAAAATGGTCGTAAGTCACTGTTTTCAGCATTGTTGTATCTTCAAATGGTCACTAAATGAACTGTTGTAAGTTGAGGACTACTTATACGTTAATAAAAGTGTTTTTTTTAAAGTGAACATTCTATATTCTGTCTAATATTTTACACTTTTATATGTCAGTTTGTCATGGCTTACTTTACAGAATTACACTTCCATGCCTCGCGCCTCCATCTCTTTTGTTCAAATGTAAAGTCAAAATCAACAAATCCTTGTTGATTCAGAAAATTGACTTGTTTTGTTGTTACCTTCATTTGCAGGCTTTAGATGTGATAACCTGAGAAGGTCTTTATGACACCAGCCATTTTTCTTCTTGTATGCTGTCACCGCTAAAGCAATCGCCATGTCATTCTTTCCATTGTACCAAACTGAAACAGCTTTTCTCAGGGCCCGGCCCCACATGCCACATTTCATGCCTTCCTTCAGATCCTTTTTAAACTGGATGAAAGTGAAGAGGTGGGTTGGTATATGACAAATTTCAGGGACAGCCTTATAAGCTTCTTGTTTGGTTTTGGCATCAGAACATTGTGAACAAATGGCAAGCGCAAACAATACTGGATCCTGTTTTGCTGCTCTACCTTCCTGGCTGAATGTCTTTATTTCTTGCACTGCTTCATAACCTTTGCCACCTTCAATAAGCCTCAAAAGAGCATCTACACTTTCAAAGCTCAGTTTCTGTTCCTTGACATAGAATGCACCTCCTTCGGAACCAAAACACAAGAAACGGCGCAGTCTAGTCATGTCTGTAACTTGCCACCCGCATCCATCTTCAGAATCTGATATCTGGTTTTCATTGTCTGGCTGCATTGGACTTGCTCCTTCTTCCATTGCTTCTCAGTATAAAGAAGTCTCCTGAAGAAACACAATAAAATTATTTCATCTATCTGGAATCCGGACTTTATGGTCAGCTTTATTAAGACAATTACTCAAAACATTTCTTTCAGAATAAATTCGGCAACATTTTACGAAAAAAATGTTCCAACTTCAATTAAAACCTTCAGAATAAGAATCTTTTATATACAAAATGTACTAGATACAGCAAGTATAAGAGATTATCTCAATTTCCTAATAAATATTTGTTGACACGATTCTAAAAAAATCTCCCTAAATGAACCAATTTTCTTTGGACTATGCTAGTGAGTTAATATTTTACTCTTTTCTTCAATCCCAGAGGTTTTATAACTCATAAGGGCAATTGATTCAGTTGATCATATATATACTAATAAAAATATTTTTTTGAATTTTTTAAAAGAAAAAGTAATTTCATAATTTCTTATCTATCCTAAGTAATTAAAAGTTATTCTGCCATTATAAGCATAAACACTATACCTGCATCCAGAGACCAAAATATTTAGGCAACTATATGAAATTTATGTCTCCAATGCATTTCTAGTAAGCAATTAAGATTTGACAATTTCAAGCTGTAATTTCTAGAAGTGATTTATTAATTTGATGTAATATCTTCTGTTGTTACTAAGAATCCTATAATTACTTTTAATTTCTGAACTTAATAAACTATTTTGTCAAGTTTACTTTTTTCCTTTCCTGTTTCTTATTTAAAGATAATAATATGCATGTTTGATTTACATTACAGAACAAAGATTCTGAAATGCAATATCCTGTCTGAAATATAATGTTCTTAGGACATGCAATATTCTGCTTTTAAAAACAAGCTATGTAAATATGCTAATGAAATTCTACACAGAAATACATATTTTATAATTTGAAATTGAAAAACACGTTCCTCACAACACAGTAACATATTTTGAGCAGTAAAATTTTAGCACAATTTCTAAATTAAAAAGGCACTCTAAAGACCAACAAAAAAGTAATATAATCAGATGTGCAATTTAAATGATGTAATTGTTTTTTTTATAAAATTTCTAACTAGTTTTCAGTGATGAAACCACTTGAAATTGGAAATGCCATAAATCAAACCACAAACATTTCCTTGTTAAAAAACAGTTTAAAAACTTGTAACATTGTCCATAATTTGATATAACATAGGCATATATTTTAAATATAGTTCAGAACCAACCTAAATGCATTTTGTGCCAACTGTCCACAGAGAAAACAGATATGAGTGTGATACAACACATTGCAGTTTTTCATTTGTATCCCACCCATTTTCCAATTTGTCTAAAGTGCTATATCTTAGCTTATTCAATGTTGTCTTACATAGTAATGCTGTAGAAGAAATTAAAGAAAAATAGCTATTTATTGAATCCCACTCAACACATTCCATTGTTAAGTTCCAGTTCAAGTGTAACATTTTCTACTATGGTTTGGGCTAAGGAACCTTTGTGACAGATTGTTCAGGCCAAAATCTAAGATTAAAAAAAGAATGCCATTGAAGATAGAAAAAAATGCATGTTTCTATTCAATGTAATGAGGTAATTACAGATAACAACAGTTCATTTAGTGACCGTTCAAAGTTACAACGGCACTGAAAAAAGTGACCTATGATCATTTTTCACACTTTTGACCATTGCAGTATCTCCATGGGCTCATGATTTATATTCGGATGCTTAACAACTGTTTCACATTTATGACAGTTGGTGTCCCAGGGCTTTCTGATCAGATTCACTTAAGAACTGTGATAATAATTTAACAATTGCAGTGATTCAGTTAATAAATGTGACAAGAAAAGTTGTAAAGTGGGGCAAAACTCACTCAACAAATTTCTCACTTAGCAACATAAATGTTGGGCTCAATTGTGGAAGTAGGCTGAGGACTACCTGTACTATATATTCACTTGGGGAATTATGGGATAGAACATTTCCCATAGCTACCTGTTGAGCAGCCAATCAATCATCTACCAACCTATTCAGATCTTGCAAAACCTCTGCAAAATTATTCACTAGACAACACCTATAAGTCCTTTATTCATTTGTACTATGGGATGCACATTCCTCAAGACACCGAGCTGCAGTTGCTTCTATTGCTATCCTGCATTTCTGTTCAACCACATTGCTCCTATCCAGGATGCCCCAGGTGGAGCACTCCAGCAATCCCTAAGCTCATACTATAGATAGTCCTCAACGTACGACCACAATTGAGCCCAAAATTTATATTGGTAATTTGTTAAGTGAGATTTGCCCCATTTTACGACCTTTCTTGCCACAGCTGTTACCTGAACATTGCAACTGTTAAGTCAGTAACCTGGTTGTTAAGTGCTTGTTAGAAGGTCACAAAAAATGACTGCATGATCCCAGGACACTACAAGTGTCATAAATATGAATCAGTTGTTAAGCATCTGAATTTTGATCACATGACCATGGAGAATGCTGCAATGGTCGTAAGTGTGAAGAATGGTCATAAGTCCCTTTTTTCAGTGCTGCTGTAACTTTGAGCAGTCGTTAAATGAATGGCTGTAAGTCAAGGACTATCTGTACAAGATTTTTAAATACGCTTGTAATCTTTCTGTTCATCTTTTAACCAAGATACTCCTTAAAGTCAGTAACCTTTTGCAGTTTTCTCTACTGCTACAGTAAAATGGGGAATCATTCTGAAAAAGTGAAAATTACGAAAAAATATTATACAAAAATATCCTTTTGTCGGGAACATTGGCTGTGAACTTCATATGAAAGGATTTCATAGGTATAATAGGTTTACAGAAGGCATTTAAAAAAATAAAAAAAGCACTGTTCGGATTACCAGACCAAATTTGTGAGGTCACCATATAAATCTGAAGTTGTAAGTCGAGGGCGACCTGTATTGTGAACCGCTTCTCCCCACCCGCAACGAGACAGCTCCGATCGGTCAATCAAAAACAACTGCCAGAATTCCCTCGGCTAAAATGCTACGGGCCGGGCACGAATGAACGACCGACAAAGAGAGAAAAGGCGGCTTGCTTCGTCGCCGCTCCCAGGCCCGATTCGAGCTATTCCTGGAAGGCAGGACAGCGATTCCCTGCGAAAGAGACGGCCTTGCTGCTGCTGGCAGCCTAAAAGAGAGTCGGGGCAGCATTGTCTGCACACACAAACCGTACCTCTGTGTAACTGCGGCAGCCTCCGCGGCTTTCTGGGAGCCCAAGGAAAGGATCGCTTTCTCCTCAAGCGCGCGCTCTCCCCAGTCACTCCTCCTCACCCCCACCAAGACCGCCCTGACAACTTCCCTCACGCAGCAAAAACAAGGGAGGGAGCCGGATGGGGCAGCGGGTCCCGTCGCCTCCTGCACAGATGACGGGGTAGTCCCTAGGACCCGGATGCGCTGCGCGTACACACGCACACACGCCCCGCAACCCACATCTGTCTCGCGGCGCTATCCCTCTTGGTCTCGCGGGCACAGGCGGCGGGGAAGATTCCCGCTGCTGGGCTTTCGTGCGGGTTGTGCACAACGCGATGTGAGCCCGGACCCCCAGCGCTCCTTGGGTGTTAAAGCTAAATTTGTGGTCCAAACCTTTTGAACGAAATTCGACGAGCCTGAACTGGAATTGCCATACCGTAGGGATGGTGGTTGCAATTTCAGCTCCTATAAAATCCCTTTGGACGTTTTTTTGGTAGGCAGCCGTTGGTGGCGGGAATGTAAAACAGCGAAGCTAGAGAAGGACTTTGGGGTTTTACATCACTGTTGTTCCAGTTACATTGCTGCGATTCGGTGACGGATTATTTTAATTTTCCGAGCAAAGCAGTCTTTGTATTAAATTGATGCCAATGGAGTGCAAGAGCCAGTTTGGTTTGCCAGTGGTTAAGGCACCAGGCTAGAAACCAAGAGACCGTGAGTTTTAAAGCCTCCTTAGGCATAAAAATATTATCCAGGGGAAGGTCATCATAGTTGCGTTTTATAGTCACGTAAAACATCAGTTGGAGCCACAGAATAGAGAAAATGACCCAAGGGAGATCAGTGGCTGCGTTGCTTAACCTAATTAGCAAATTAGGATGGCATTATTAACACGCTAAAGCAGTTAAAGCAAATAAGCAATCCTGATTATTGGGGCTAAAATATGTGGTTTCTTTAATTTGGGATTAAGTATTTGGTTTGTCATCCTTGATTTATGATTTAGCGCAAAGTGGAACATAGCTAGGATAGCATAGCCGGATTAAAACATTTTAGTCTATTGTTGTCCCGTCCGCCTCCAAGCTGTTTCATTAGTCAATGATTCAATAGTATATGGATACAGAAAACTGGGTCGAGTAATTAACTGTGCATATCAGTGCAAATATAGCCTACAAGCCACTGCCCTCTTGGCTTATAGGTTGCCAACTGAATTTGCAAATGCAGAGTTATAAAATAATACCACCGTGCCATTTACTCTATTTACACCGGGTTTGCTCTATTCTTTAAAAACCCGTCTCTAGCGGCTCTTTAATTGCAAGCCGGAAATGCAGCATGCCAGGCGGTTTAGCCTCTCCTCTCTTTGATTAGTCCTTTTGCTCCTCTCTTCATCATAGAGTAGACGAGACCGCCCCGTCGAGATCTGAAGTCGCCGGCCGCTGAGGCTGTCGGGAAAGCGGCGGCGTGCCTTTCCTTGCTTTGCTTTGCTTTCGACCGTCCGCTGAGTGGGCGAAGAAGGGCGCGCGGTTAGCGCAGAGGGGCGGCGCGTGAGCGAAGCGAGGGAGACCGCCGGAGCCTTTTGCAGAGTCCGGCGATTGAGAGGAAGCAGGGCAGCGCGGCCGCTTCTTGGACGCGATGGCGGGCGGGGGCAGCGCTGGCGAGTGGTGCCTCATGGAGAGCGATCCAGGCGTCTTCACGGAGCTCATCAAGGGGTTCGGTGAGGTTTGTGGCTGGACTGCCTTCGCGGGCCCCCCTTCCGAGGCGGTGGAGCTAAAAGGGAGCCGAAGAGGGGAAACTGGCCAAAGCCTCAGATTCGACCTTCATGGGCTCGATTGGCTTCTTAAGATTCCAAGCATCGGTTTGCAAATGCCTCATTGATTAGGAATGGATGCGGTTTCTGGCCATGTACAGAACGCGGTTCCCTGGTTAACGACCGTTTTGCAATTCAGTCATTGGAGCAGCAATTCAGGAATAACAAGCTACAATAATTAGGGCAAAAGCTATCACGCCTATTTAGCATCCTGTGTGAAACTTACTTTTTTTTTTTTAAAGGAGTGAGATGTCCTCTGGACAAGATTATTTCCTCCCACGTGTAGAATTCTTTTTTTTTCCCTTGGTGCACATCAGATTTGTTTTACTTTGATATTAAATTTTTTGGGGGAATGGAGAATAGAGATGATATTAGCATCCTTTCCGTGCCCTAGTAATGGATCTGCAGGGGAAAAAATTGAGGCTTATTTATGATGAAGTTACAGCTATGTAACAAAAGAAACAGATTATGGAAATCGTAGTAGGTATTGCCTCCCATTAATTTGGGAATGGGGAGAGAGATGCATACACATCAATTTGTATGTGACACAGTAGCTTTGCATAAAACTGACTTTCAAAAAAGAGCCACAACCAGACTGTTCTGACATGCATTTGTAAATGTGCATTCATTAGATCAGCATTTTACCATTCATTTCCAGTTTTGTCTACAGCCTAGTGGTCTCCCAATCAAATATTAACTAGGACCAAAGCTGCCCCCTTCTTCAAAAGCAGTCAAGATTGGCTGGTGGCTGTCATGTTAATTGTGTTAAATCTATATTTCAATTGTGTATCTATGATTAACAACATATAATGTAACAAATGCCTGAAAGTAAAATGTATATGTATCAGAATTTTGTGAGTGCAAACATATGCAAGGGAGGTACTTGAAGAGCTGGATTAACTTGTAATTCCTTTTTAAATTAATTCTAAGTTTTGCCCTTGGAGTTTTCTCATATAAACTCACCCTGGATGACTTCCAACCTACTTTTCAATTTTGCCTAACTTACATATTTGTTATGAAAAATGATTTTTTTAATTTTCAGGTTGCAGAGGAGCACAGGTTGAGGAAATATGGAGTTTGGAGCCCGAGAACTTTGAAAAATTAAAGTAAGTATGTTGCTTGTGGTTAGTTACCTTTTGTTCTCTGTGTTGATCCTTGCTGTATAATTTAGGTTCTCTGTTTCCCGCCAATGAATAAAGGAGATTTTTAGTCAAGCAATTCACATTATTGAAAAAAGAAATGAAGATACCTTTTAGATTCTAGTCCTATATAGTTACTTTTGTAAGTATATAGTTACATTGTGAGTTCTAGTGGGGAGAAGAGATTGAATGCTGCCAGAGATCTGTGAAGTTACTTGCTCTGCCTGTTGCAAAATCTAGGTACTCCATTACCCAGTAAGGAGATTCAGTGAGGGAAAAAAGTATTTGATCCCTTGCTTATTTTGTACATTTGCCCACTGACAAAGAAATGATCAGTCTATAATTTTAATGGTAGGTTTATTTTAACAGTGAGAGACAGAATAAGAACAAAAAAATCCAGAAAAACACATTTCAAAAAAGTTATAAATTGATTTGCATTTTTATGAGTGAAATAAGTATTTGATCCCCTATCCATCAGCAAGATTTCTGGCTCCCAGGTGTCTTTTACATGGGTAATGAGCTAAAATTAGGAGCACTGTCTTAAAGGGAGTGCTCCTAATCTCAGCTTGTTGCCTGTAGAAAAAATACCTGTCCACAGAAACAATCAGATTCCAAACTCTCCACCATGGCCAAGACGAGCTATCCAAGGATGTCAGGGACAAGATTGTAGACCTACACAAGGCTGGAATGGACTATAAGACTATCGCCAAGCAGTTTGGTGAGAAGATGACAATAGTTGGTGCAGTTATTCGCAAATGGAAGAAACACAAAATAACTGTCAGTCTCCCTTGGTCTGGGGCTCCATGCAAGATCTCACTTCGTGGAGTTTCAATGATCATGAGAACGGTGAGGAATCAGCCCAGAACTACAAGGGAGGATTGTCAATGATCTCAAGGCAGCTGGGACCATAGTCACCGAGAAAACAATTGGTAATACACATTTTTAGAAGGCATAGTATTCCTTTCCACTCCACCTGCTAATTATTGTTCTATGCTTTAATTATAATACAAATGCAATTAGCTTTATTTCCTGGTCAGTATATGTTTCAATTTTCAACATATTTTGTGTTTTTCTTTATCTGTAGGCCAGTTCATGGACTGATATTTTTGTTCAAATGGCAACCAGGAGAAGAACCAGCTGGTTCTGTTGTTCAGGATTCTAGATTAGATACATTATTTTTTGCTAAACAGGTATGGTAAATTGGAAAACGGTGTATCTTCTAGGACAGCTAGAAGGAAGTTTCTGAATTAATACGTATATAATTTGCCTTTTTAAGCAAATGTATGGAGGACATATTTTTAAAACTAGGAAGTATGAAATTGTCCATATACAGTCCTTGACTTACGACCATAATTGAGCCCAAAATTTATGTTAAGCGAAACAGTTGTGATTTTTTTGCCCCATTTTACAGCCTTTGTTGCCACACTTGTTAAGGGAATCATTGAAGCTGTTAAATTAGTAACAAGGTTGTTAAATGAAATCTAGCTTCCCAAATGACTGCCTGTCAGAAAGTCACAAAAGGTGATCATGTGACCCCAGGATACTGCAATTGCCATAAATATGAATCAGTTGCCAAGCATCTGAATTTTGATCATGTGACCATGGAAACACTTGTAAGTGTGACAAACGGTCATCAGTCACTTTTTCAGTCCCATTGTTTGGTCACTAAATGAATTGTAAGTCAAGGACTACCTATATATTTTTTTCAAATACTGTTTATCAGGGAATTGGATTTTGCCTTCGTTTTTATTTGTTTCAGAATTGTAATATCTTCAATATAGACCTCCAGCCAGAAAATATCCTGTTGTTTAACATGAAACGAACTTTATTCAGTTTGATTTGATGTGTTAAGGTAGCAAGCATAGTGTAGTAAAAATTAACTCCAGTAATATAATGTGTATTGAACTGTCCATTTTACATGAGGATGTCATCCATATAAAGTTTAAGGATGAACAAGGTAGTTCTGGACAAGGTGATTTCTGTATGCTTAGGAACAGACTGAATTGTGGCACTGCAATTACCGCTACTTTAAGAAGTTATCTCTTCATCATCTTACTTTGCTTGTCTGTTATGTTTCACATGGAAATCTGTTAACTATTTGGTGCAAAGTAAATAGCAGAATTACCATTCCTTCTGCTTTAATTTGTGAGAGATAATATGTTAACCTAATCACATGAGA